TGAGTGCCACCCCCTAGATCTGGAAACGACTAGCACATATCTTGGAGCGGTGTGTAAATGTGGTTTATCATTATGTACCTGTTGATGGTTGATCTGTCTGAGTGCCAGGCCTTCAGGAATCCTCTGGCATTTTTAGGCTTAGTTTGGTCTTGGATTCTCACCGTTTCTTGCTGGTGAATTGGGATTCCGTTGGCCGGCAGTGACCAAAATTGCCATATTGCTGGTAGCCTTTTCTTCTGTAACACCTCTATCGCTCTCAACTATCCAAGTTCTTTCACCTTGGAACAATACTATATAGCAGTGATGGGAGCCATTTACAAAAAAGATATTAGTTTTTGTGACAGGGAGTTTAATCCAGTATTCACTCCAATACCCTGTGACTGGTGGAATGATTTTTGCTGCTCCTTCCTGCATTTTCTTCCCCGCCATTTTCAATCCTCCTCTTGCAACGGTATTCCCTTAGCCCTTCATTCCGTATTTTCCAAATGTTGGAATGGACTTGCCTGATGTCGGGGTGGACAGCATATAAATTTAATAAATAAATAAATAAATAGAATAATAAATATCCAGCAAGAGGCTAAGTTTCTGTTACATGAGATTCTGCATGCAAACAGGGGGAGAGGGGGATAGTTCCCTCATCTACTTCTGTTGGATTCTTCACTGTCAAAGCAAGTATTCAGGCCCCTCAAGGATTAATTGCAAAGTTGCACCATTAGCATCTTTGCCGTCTCTCCTAAATACCATTCCCTGCTGGCTTAATGGATGATTGAAATGGAGGCTTTTAAAAAAAAACCCAAATTAAAAAGACAAGGGATGAGAGAAACTGGAGGGTCTGGATAATTTCCCAGGCATCCGGATGATTTTTTTGGCGATGTCAAAATGTCACCCGGACAGTGGCCAACAATTCTACCTCTGCAGGTCCGCAGATGGTGCTTCTTCCATCGTCCCTTGGACGGGGTGCGAGGCTTAATGAAGAGAGGGTGGAAGGGTTCCCATCCTTCTTTCCACTTTAGGTAGAGAAAGGTTCCAGCGAGGAGGAAGGCCGAGCCCTTCCCCTCCTCGCTCTCTGCCGTGGAGAGAAGTGCGCTGGTGTTCGCCCCAAGCAGCTGCATTCGAAGCGCTGCGTGGGTCTGCTGTCACTTCGCATCAGCCTCTTGGCCCCGATGTGGGGACTCGATTAAGTCTGTCGCCGCAGCACCCGTTTAAGGAGTCAGTGATTCACTTCACTGACTAAGTGGGACCGATCGCAGTGCAGGTCACCGGCAAGGCCCTGGCAGCGTCTCTGGGAAGAAATCACATCCCACCAGGAGGGCAGCAAAACTGCGGCATCTTCTCCTTACATGCCTTGCTCCCACACCTCCTGGGACCCTCCTGGAGCCAGGACTCCAAAAGAAGTATCGTAGGGACTTGAATTGTAGAGGAATGGTTCTTAGCAAGGAACCAACACGGCTTCTTCTCAGGGAGAGGTTTGAAATATACTTTGGGTTGAACTTGAACAAATGTTGATTTGTTGTAAATCAGGCATCCGGATGGGGTGTCAAATTCAAGGCCTGGGGGTCAGATCTGACCCAGGGGGTGCTTAGATCTGGCTGGCATGGTCACCCTGGAAACAGCAAAGGAGCGGCCCACAGTGCCTCTGCCAACAAAAATGGAGTTTGTGAGGGCTGAGAGCTGGCAGAGGGTTGCAGGAGGCTGTCTCAGCTGAAAATGGAGATTGGGAGCCTGTTTTTGCTTGCAAAGTGCTTGGGACACTCCAGGCGCCCCCAACATGAGTGATGTCAAGCTGGCCACGCCCTCCCTGACCACACCCATCCCAGCCCCCCAAGGTCAAACACAACACTGAACACTCAATGAAATCAAGTTTGACAGCCCTGTTCTACATGGGGGATGAAGAGCCTTGGTCCTTCCTATGTACACTTGGGCTGGCCGTTCAGTTGGAGGGGAAATTATTTAGAGCAGCGATGGCAAAACTTTTAGAGACCAAGTGCCCAAACCGCAACCCAAAACCCACTTATTTATTCCAAAGTGCCAACCTGGCAATTTAACCCGAATAATGACGTTTTACTACCTAAAATGATGATAAACAAGGCAGAGTTCAGCTAATTGTTCTAAGGCAATGATGGTGAACCTTTTTGGCACCGAGTGCCCAAAGCACTATGCATGTATGCGCATAGTCAAAATGCAGTGCACGCATGCATCCTGCGCATGCATACGCCCACATGTATGCACCCCACCCCACTGCATGCGCCCCAACCCCCACATGCACCCCGCCCCACCCAGCTGGCCAGCGGGAGGTGCATGCATGGTGCAGCTGAGCTGGGGTGACGGCATGCATGTCCACAAAGAGGGCTCTGTATGCCACAGGTTCACCACCATGGATCTAGAGTGGTTGAGGCAATGGATTAAGGATAAAGGTAAAGATAAAAGTTTTCCCCCTGCAATTGTTTCTGAGCCTAGAAAAAATCTCGTCTTCATTTCTTAGCTGAGGGTGCCAGCAATGTCTGAAGATCCTTCTGTGGTCATATGGCCAGTATGACTATATGCCAAAGCACATGGAACACTGATACCTTTTCACTGAATGGGTACCTATTTACCTACTCTCACTTGCATGCTTTCAAACTGCTAGTTGGGCAAGCGCTGGGGCAAGGAACAGGAACTCACCCTATCGTGTGGCACTCGGGCCTCAAACACAGGCTGTCAGCTTTCTAGCTGACATGCTCAGTATCTTTAATCACTGAGCCATCGCACCCCCAGATTAAGGATATGGGTATCCAATTAGACCTGGCTGTCAGAGTTCCAGCAACCCACCACGCCGCCCAATAACTCTGAGACAGACATCTTCTCAAAGGTCCCTTTTTATTTGGATAGTAACTGACACAACTGGAGAATTCTAAATCCAGGCTTCCTGGCATTAAGTAAAAAACTACAATTCCATCCCCTGCACCCATCATCACATCACATCCGTCCCAAGTTAAGACTTCCTCTCACTTATGTGAAAAATAACATGACCTTGAATTAGAAAAAAAATGTTGTTATGTCTACCTACAAACACTCCAAGAAATTCCCACCACCACCACTTTCCCAGGCTCAAAATGTGGCAGCGTTGAAGCATCTGGTTTCAATATGGCCTCCAAAGCTGACACTGGCTTGTCTTCCCTGGGATAACAGCTGACTTGGTCCTTCATCCCACTTAGATTTGCAAGATTTCTAAGCTAAATCTCATCCCTTAAATATAGGCCGGCATTCCACATGGTTTGATTCAAATCCCTTCCTGAGCCCAGTTCTCACTGTTAAGAAAATTCTCCTTAGTTCTAGGTTGGATCTCTCCTTGATTAATTACCATCTATTGTTTCTTGTCCTGCCTTCAGGTGCTTTGGAGAATAGGTTGACCCTCTCTTCTGTCTCAAATATTGGAACACTGCTATTATGTCACTCCGATCCTTCTTTTCACTAGACTAACCATACCTAAATCATGCAACCATTCTCCTGTCTCCTAATCATCTTAGTTGCTCTTCTCTATACTCTGTCCGGAGTCTCAACCTCTTTTTTTATAACGTGGTGACCAAAACCGGATGTGGTATTCCAGGTGAGGTCTTACCAAGGTTTTCTAAAGTGGGACTAAGATCCCTTGCCTCCCTCCCAACCTGCCAATTCAAACCCATCGAATGGTTAGCAACAACAATGATCACAGCACACGGTTGAAAGAAACCATACCGCAAGAGGAAGGAAACGAACTTGTACTTTTCTGCACCCCCTGGGCTCAGCCTTTCTGGATTTGTCAGCATCAATTTGCATTGCTTGACTGGCCCGGCCATATTCCCTGTTGGATTAACTGCTCCATAAATTATCAAGCTTTCTCTTGAGGGCTTTGCTTTCACCCGGCATGGAAGCCAATCGGCTGAGGGTCTCTTGATACTGCAAGTGCCAATCTGCTAACAGCCTTGTGACCTTTTATTTCATTTTGGGGGAAATTCCCTTGAATGTCACCTTCTTCTGCTCTGTCCCCAACAACCAACTTCTTCCATTGGTCATATTGAATGTCAATCTATCCGTGGTGAAACATCAACCATATGGTTGACAAGGTCCACGTAGCAGGGAAACTCAACAAGCATGACATCCACAAGGACTTCTGGAAGACCCCTTTAGTGCTAGCGTAAAGTAGAGACCCACCCTTGAAAACTGCAAAAGGAAGGCAGAATTATAGCAAGCCAATTCAGGCGGAGTCTCTTCCCTTCTCAGGACCTCCATTTCCAGGCTGGGCTGCCTCTTCCCAGATCTACTTAACTCTTCCTCTGCCTGGGAGGAATCCTAGTCAATCCCTCACATGGGGTTTCACAGAATAGCAGAGTTGGAGGGAACCTCAGAGATCTTCTAGTCCAACATCCGGTTCAAGAAGATGACCCTGGCCTACACCATGTCAGACAAATGGTTCTCTGTCTCTCCTTAAAATCCCCCAGTGTTGGAGCGCCCACAACTTCTACTGGCCAGTAGTTCCACTGATGAATTGTTCCCACTGCCAGGAAATTCCTCCTTAGTTCTAGGTTGCTTCTCTCCTTGATTAGTTTCTATTCATCGCTTGTTGTCCTGCTTTCAGGTGCTTTGCAGAATAGCTTGACTCCCTCTTCTTTGGGGCAGCCCTTCAGATATTGGAAGACTGCTATCACAGCACCTCTGCTCCTTCTTTTCATGAAACTAAATCCACTCAATTCCTGGAACCATTCTTCATGTTTTAGCCTCCTGTCCCCTAATCATCCTGGTTGCTCTTTTCTGCACTCTTTCTAGAGTCTCAATGTCTTTTTTTATATCATGACAACCAAAACTGGATGCAGTATTCCAACGCGTTCTTACCAAGGTTTTATAAAGTAGTACTAACATTTCATGTGATCTTGATTCTATCCACTTATTTGATGGTAAATGAATGGAAAGAAGAATTAAGGTAAACTACTGGGGATGGGTGAAGTCCTGGTCTTGGTAATGACTGAAGTAAATAAGAGACTTCAATGGAAGCTGAGTCAGAACAAGACACACTGCATATTTCCAGTCACCACTGCTGCTAAGCAGTGAGAATCTCTTGGGTTCAGGACCATGGAGAGCAATAAAGCAGACATGTTGCTCTATTGCTCCAGGCCCATCAACTGGATTTGATAGCTAAAATAATCTTGCTAGAAATCTCATCCCACTTCTGGTTCTATAGCTGACACCTTCTACGAAACAGAAGTTAGATTGGAAAATTTTCATCGTTGAACTCCATTTTTACAAATAAAAAAAAAGTCAGCATCATATCTTGAAGGTGATGTAGTCCCGAAAGGACCTCAACCTCAACCTACAAAGACCTACAGGGATCTTTTCTAATCCCTCAACAGACTCATGATCACAGCTGGCCTCCATGGCTCCGACCTAGTCCCTTGACACAGGGAAGTCTCGATTCTGGTCTGTTAATGGATCTCCTCACAATCCTCCTCCTTATCAGAATATCATAGAATCCCTGCCTGATCTCCATCTAGACTAGGGGTTTCCAAATTTGGCATCTTTAAGACTTGTGGACTTCAACTCCCATAATTCTGGGAGTTGAAGTCCGTGAGTCTCAAAGTTGTTGCCAAGTTTGGAGACCACTGATCTAGATCCTCATTTGCTCCAGAGACAGATGATTACAGAAAACATTTTAGATCCAACTGTTTTTTCCACATCAGGTGCCTTTGAATCACCTCTTGTGCTTCTGATGTTACAGGACAATACTTCAAAACCATCATGTCTCCAAGAGGAAATTTAAAAACAAAACAAAACCAGGATTTCCCTTCAAATCCAGATTATAAAAACCATCCAAAGTTTTGTAAATTGAAGGAGTAGACCAACAACTACTTGCTCCATCATCATTGCTCATGGCAGGTTCCCTCCCAAACCACCTGCCACCCCACCAAACCAAAACCACCCAAAACTTCATGGTTGTATTCAGAAACAAAGCCAACCCCCGAGTCAATTTCTCCCTTTTCTCTGAATCTGAGTTTCACCGGTCTCTTGAGATGCTTCCCCTGTAGGATGCATGGGGAAGCAAAAAAACCCTGCGTGGGATAAAAGCGCATCACGCAAGATGGAGAGAAGGAATTGCTGGATCCCCAAATATCCTCAGATCTCTGTGTAGGCTGCCCTTGAAATACATTTGCTCCGTTCTGCTGTCGATGCTTTGAAAAATATTGGCTAAACATCAAGGACCAGGCTAGTTCTGACCTGTCTTGTGGTTGCATTTAGCACTGGGCATTTGCTGGGTTTTTTGTTTTGTTTTTCAGCATAAAGGCTGCACTTGCTATATTGTATGGATAACACTGGAGGGAGGTGTAGGTTTCTGTTTGCAAAGAAAGCCTTCAAGGTTAGCTCCGTTTCAGAGAGCTTCCTTCTGCCAAGCTGAAGGTTCAAATTCCATGGTGAACCAACTGGGAAGGGGAGAATTCATAATGCACCTGGCTAGCAGTCTGATCCCCAATTTTTGACTTCTCCCACAAAGCAATTTGTAATTTCATTACAGCAAAGAAAATGCAGATTCAATAAGGCAAATCCCATGGTAAATTTCCATTTCCTGAAGGCCAAGAAACTGCCTTCTACATGCCAGCTTTTCTTGGCAGCTTACTTGGTTTTAGAAAAACGGGTGCACAAACCTCCTTGATAAGATTCTGATGTGTAAACTGCCAATAAAATGCACCATGGTTTTGTCGAATATGCAAGCAAAATCCCTCTTTGCTGGTGAAGACTTAGCAAAAATGACCACCTCATGATCCTAGCAAAGTCATTTGGGGTCTGGCTATTCTAAAGAAAAGAAGAATTAGGGGTGACATGATAGCAGTGTTCCAGTGTTTGAGGGGCTGCCCCAAAGAAGAGGGAGTCAAGCTATTCTCCAAAGCTCCTGAGGGCAGGACAAAAAGCAAAGGATGGAAAACTAATCAAGGAGAGAAGCAACTTAGAACTAAGGAGAAATTTCCTGACAATTAGAACAATTAACCAGTAGAATGGCTTGTCTCCAGAAGTTGTGGCTGCTCCATCCTTGGAGGTTTTCAAGAAGAGACTGGACAGTCATTTGTTCAAAATGACAAAGCGGGGCTCTCCAACCATGGCAACTTTAAGACTTGTGGACTTCAACTCCCAGGTGTCAATCCCAAGAAGAAGAAGAAGCCTCGGGAAATATCTCTTCCTGATTTCCCCCCCCCCCCCCCCCCCCAGATTTGGGGACCCGAAAGTTACAAAGAGAAAGAGTAGAACCAAATCCGTGGTCCCTCCCTCCGCTGCCTCTAACAATCCAGCCTGCTCAAAATCGCCACTGAGAGAAATTTAAAAAAGAAAAAAGAAAAAAATCTCGAGCAACCGAGAAAAAAAAAAAAAGAACAGAAGCTTCTTTAGCTGAGGAGAAAAAAAAAAATAAAGTTGAAACATCCCAGGGCAGATTTCCACCTTGTACAAGATGTTTGAAACATGGCCAAAAATGGCATGAAAAGAAGCCACGGATGCGTTGCCTATTCCCTATTCCAGCGCCTCCCTTATTTTTGTTCCTTAACATTTTCTCCCCCCCCCCCACTCCTTTCTCAACACGCCCCGTGCTCGGTTTAGCGCACCAAGTCACGCATCTCTTAGGCAAATGATGTACCCAATATTGGCATATATTTGCATGCATCTCAATATTAGAACTTTCCAGCTTTACCAGTGCTGAAAACGCCTCTCCGTCTTCACTAAAGCGCTGGACTTTTCCTTGTTGAGTCTTCCTCAAAATTCTGGCTCGATAGATCGGCTGTCGATTGCCAGCATTTCAAACCCGATGGTTTTGCGTCCATACCCCTGAGCTGCAGGTTTGCCTCGCCCCTCCCTCCCAGAATCTAATCACCAAAATCTGTCAACCTTCAGGACAAGTAGCAAATGCCCACCTGTCGAACCAGGCTTCTGCCTCAGGTCAACACTGTGGATTATTATGGTTCTGATCAGAGTTTTAACTTCAGGGCTGAATTTACTTGGCTGGATGTTGATCACTAAGATTGTCAGTTTTCGAATATGGACGATCATGTGGGCTGGGAGCGGTTAGGATGGATGCATTCCGCTAAATGATGGGTTCATTATGCAAAAATAAATCAAAGAGAAACAACGCGGGGACCGTCTCTGTCCAGCTGATACGATTGCAAGAGGGAGCATTTAACTAATGCATATTATACTATTAATTGTCTTTTCTATTCTGCCTCTTAATGTTTCCGTTGTTCTGAATTAACTATTTAACATCATGCAAACTAGGTAGATCTCCCATGATATGGGCAGGAGGCCTCCGTGGGGGCCAAGGATAAAGGAATCCAAAGAGATGAAGATGAGCAAACTGAGATGCCACTTTTGTTGCGGCCCCTTTGACTATCGTTCTCCCAACGCAAATGTCTTGACAGTGGCAGGTTTTCCCGCTCTGCCTCCATAGAACTTCAGCTATTAGAGGAGATTGAACCAAAGGGGAAAGGGGCTATTTGAGAGCTATGTCTTACCCAAGAACATGGAATCGGAGGGTTGGAAGGGAACTTGGAAGTCTTCGAGTCCAACCCTTTTATGCCATCCCTGTCAAATGGTTGCCCAATCTATTTTGGGAAACCTCCAGTGATGGAGTACTCACAACTCTGGGAGGCAAACTACTCCATTGATTGTTCTCACTGTCAGAAATTTCTCCTTGCTTCTAGGTTGGATCTCTCTTTAACAAGCTTCCACCCGTTGCTCCTTGTCCTGCCCTCAGGTGCTTTGGAGAATAGGTTGACCCCCCTTCTTCTTTGTGGCAGCCCCTCAAGTCCTGGAACACTGTTAACATGTCACCTCTAGTCCTTCCCTCAAATACAAACAGTGTAGAGATAAGAGAGAGAGAGAGACAGACAGATACATATACACATATACATACATACATATATATATATATATAGAGAGAGAGAGAGAAATCATAGATAGATAGATAGATAGATAGATAGATAGATAGATAGACAGACAGACAGACAGACAGACAGACAGACAGACATAGAGAGATCATAGATAAATATAGATATACAGATAGACATACATATAGAAATATAGAGATATAGAGAGACAGAGAGAGACACAGAGACAGAGACACAGAGACATACATACATACATATATATACAGAAGCCTGATGATGGCAGATGAGATTCTGCCGAAAGGTTACTACAACTTTAAAAGCACAACTACAATGACGTGGGAAAATACCCAAACAAAGCTGGATTATTTCACTTTTTAATCCTGTTGTATGCCACTCACAGGCCATATAGACTTGGGTGGGCTGCAAAAACTGCAGATGATTTAATTGATCATTAAATTAAGTTAGTGGGACTCATATCTTGTTCCAAACAATAAGGCTTGTTTCAGTCTACAAAGCATAACATCTGGGCTCCCACAACAAATTAAGCTGAAAGCCAGCAGCCTACGCAATGACTTATTTCTTCGTTAGCTGGACATAACAGCACACTCAGCAGTTTTGAGTACAATTAAAAAGAAAGGCAGGCAATAAAATCCAAGCACATATAGAAAAAAATAATATAATAATAGATAACTCGAGCGCCAACTCCCACTTCATTGGCAAGAGCAATTTATCTTCAAAATCCTGCGGGGAAAACTCCATCTTCCCTTCTGTAAAGATTTCTAGATATCTACCACACAATGGAGGACACCAAAGAAAAGTACAGGTAGTCCTTGACTTACAACAATTCATTTAGTGACCGTTGGAAGTTATAAAGACACTGAAAATGTGACTTACGGCCATTTTTTCCACACTTTTGTTGTAAATTCCCCATGGTCACGTGATCAAAATTAGGATACTTGGGAACTGGCTCATATTCATGACGGTTGCAATGCACTGCAATAACGACTGCAGTGATTCACTTAACAATGGTGGCAAGGTAAAATTCTTTATTGGCCAAGTGTGATTGGACACTCAAGGAACTTGTATTGGTGCAAATGCTCTCAGTATACACAAAAAGAAAAGATACATTTGTCAAGAGTCAAGAATCATCAGGTATAACACTTAATGATAGTCATAGGGTACAATAAGCCATCAAATCATACTAGGAAACAGTCAATAAAAATTGTTAGGATGCAAGCAACGTTACAGTCATAAGTGGGAGGAGATGGGTGAAAGGAAGGATGGGAGGATTAATAGTAATAGTAGTGCAGACTTTGTAAATAGTTGGACAGTGTTGAGGGAATTATGTGTTTAGCAGAGTGATGGCGTTCAGGAAAAAACTGTCCTTGTGTCTAGTTGTTCTGGTGTGCAGTGCTCTATAGCGTCATTTTGAGAGAAGGAGTTGAAACAGTTTCTGTCCAGGATGTGAGGGGTCTGTAAATATTTTCACAGCCCTCTTTTTGACTCGTGCAGGATACTGTCTTGAACATATTTATTTGCTGAACTTCTATGGCTGCCTTCCTCATGCAATGACTGTAGGTAGCTCACCAAAAAAATCATACAAATGTGGTTACCAGAGAGCCAGTTTAGTCTCTAAGGGTTAAGGCACTGAGGTAGAAACCATCTTTGTTGTGAGGAAAATAGGAGGAGGAAGGAATATTAGATATGCTCACTGCCTTGAGTCCTTTATAAAATAATAGTGAGATTTTTTTTAAAAAAAATCTAAAAATAAAATAATAATAATAATAATAATAGGAAGTGTTTAGCTAGTGATTTGTGATAAGAAACCCAGCATAGTTATCTCGTTTGCTGTGTACACTGTCATTTTTGTGTATAACAGCAACAATAATAATAATAATAACAACAACAGCTTTCTAGTTCACCCTCATGGTCTTTTGGAAGACTAATAGAGTAGAGAGCCCTCAGATCTCAGGTAAGAGGTGTTCCAATGGATGTGGATATTTAAGCAAAGTAAGAGAAGAGCAACAAAGATGATTAGGGGACTGGAGGCTAAAACATCTGAAGAACGGTTGTAGGAATTGGGTATGTCTAGTTTAATGGACTAGGGGTGACATGATAGCAGTCTTCCAATATTTGAGGGGCTACCACAAAGAAGAGGGGGTCAATTTATTCTCCAAAGCACCTGAAGGCAAGAGAAGAAGAAATGGGTGGAAACTAATCAAGGAGAGAAGCAACCTAGGAGACATTTCCTGTCAGTGAGACCAATTAATCAGTGGAACAGCTCGCCTTCAGAAGTTGTGAATGCTCCAACACTGGTGGTTTTGAAGAAGAAATTGGACAGCCATTTATCCAGAAGGGTAAAAGAAAAAACTAGAAACCTCCAAGGTCCCTTCCAACTTGGTTATTGTCCCAACCCTATCTATCCTAGTAGGATGGGCAGATACCCTCAGGGAGAGCAGTCCCACAAGTACACTGCCCTGATAAATGTTGGATGCCATCTTGGGCCGTATTCCTTTCCAACTCTTTTTCCAAGCTCTAGATATCAAATTTTAGGGTCCTTGCAAGCACCAGACTGCCCCCTCCCTGCCAAAAGAGATGCTCCAGGAAACACCAAAGCAAAGGAACAAGGACCAGTCCATCCCAACCCCATGACTTCTGCCTGGTCTGCCTGCCTCCCCACAATTCTTTTCTCTTCGCAAAACCACACAACAAAAGCAGCGTTTAGAGGCTGACGGAGTGTGTGTATGGGGAGGGAATTGTCGCATGCGGCCCTCCCTCTTTCTCTCTCTCTTCCCCCCCCCCCATTTGAGGGAGGGCTAATTGTGAGACAAGGCCAGTGGGGAAGGGAAAGGGGGGGAGAGACTAGCAATTATTTCTCCTCCCGAAGCCCCGAACCCATTTGAAACGGTTAAGCAGAAGTCGGGCGGTATGGATGCCACACACTTTCTTGAGGCGCATTTGCTGTTTTTTCACTTGTGAAATATTTCTGTCAGAACCAGTTAATGTACAAATTAGCAGCAGTGGTCTCTCTCTTACGTCTTCTGACTCACTAATTTGACGGAGGAAGGAAGGCTTGGCCTGTCCTGGGAGCAAATCTCGCTCTCTCTCGCAAGGGGGCAAAAGGCCAGCCAGGCCCGACTGCGGGTGGAGGGGAGGGACACGCAGGCGGGAAGGGGAGGAAGGGCTGGGAGGCATTTGTCACAGCTGCGGCAATTAGGAAGCCCACTGCAAGGTGTGCTTCAAAAGGGAGGAAGGGGAGTGCCCCTTTCCGTAGATGCCATTACAAGAGAGCCAGGCAGGTCAAACCATCGTTGGGACGATGCCTTGATTCAGGCGCAGCTCAAAATGGCTGTCAAAGCGGATTTACGGGCGATTTGGAGGAGGCATTTCCCCAAACCTAGGAGATCTTGAAAACCTAAGCAAGGTTAGAGCTCCGTAGGGAGGGATGGGAGACCACCCGAAAAATTCCAGGGCTGTGGAATAGACTGGGAAGTCAAGCTATATCCCCACCTTTAAAGTTAGCGTTGGCCAGTTATTCTAAGTCAAGTTGTCCAGAAAACAAGGTCTCCATGGAAACACTTGGATTCAAGGTCAATGTGAAGGAGATGTGACGTTGGCTTGGTGGTTGGTCAAGCAGGTCATAGAGGTAAGTTAGAATAGAATAGAATAACAGAGTTGGAAGGGACCTTGGAGGTCTTGTAGTCCAACCTCCTGCCTAGGCAGGAAACCCTACACCACTTCAGACAAATGATTATCCAACATCTTTTTAAAAACTTCCAGTGTTGGAGCATCCACAGCTTCTGAAGTCAAATTATTCCACTGATTAATTCTTCTGTCAGGCAATTTCTCCTTAGTTCTAAGTTGTTTCTCTCCTTGATTAGTTTCCACCCATTGCTTCTTGTCCTGCCCTCAGGTGCTTTGGAGAATAGCTTGACTCCCTCTTCTTTGGGGCAGTCCCTGAGATATTGGAATTGAGCCCCTTAGATATTCTTGAGTTCTCAATTTACAACAATAGTGCAATATTAATGCAACATCAGGGGTTTTCAATTCAATGTATAGAATGTGAAGGATGTGTGTGTTTATTTTCATAGTCACAATGTACACTGAAGATGGTATTTAATGTCGTTGTACAAGGTGCAATGACAAGAAACTAAGCTAAACTAAACTACAATTGAGCCCCAAATTTGTGTTGCTGGGCAAGACTGAGTTTTGCCTCACCTTTTATAATCTCATTTTACCTTGAGATCTTTTAGATACACTGAAAATCTGTTGTTAATGGCCTCACCATCTTCCCAATTTCTCCCGCTTTTGTATTTTCCTTTAAAAAGAACAAGAAACTTTATTGTCAACTTTGAAAGAGATCAGGCCTGTCTCAGCCGTCTTTCCGTTTCTCAGATTGCCACACGGTAGGGGAAAGGGAAGACGTTTGGACAATAACCGACTATCTTGTGGGAACCAAGATCATCCCAACAGATGCTGGCCAGAGACTAAGAGGAGTTGCCAAGGTGATGCCAGAACACTTAATTGGACAATGTGACCTATGACAACGAGGGAGTTGTCTATTCCTTAACTATGCTGAAAACGTGGGAAATAGTTAGAGTTGGTTTCGCTTTCATGCGTGCCGAAATGGTGTGCTCAATAAATCAGTTCTGTGAGAAAGCTGTCCATCTCGGAGTGCTGAATTGGTTGGGTTCATCAGTCAGAACTTTGAGAGTGGTTGTGGTGGCCTAGAGGGGAAGCTCTCACCTCCCAATCAGGAGGCTGTGAGTTCGATCCTAGGTAGAGGCAGATATTTTTCTCTTTGGGGCACATTGAGATTATATCTGCTGAATATCACTCCGGATTGGCGACAGGAAAGGCATCCGGCCAATAAACACTCAGTTCAATTCAGTTGCCCAGACTCCACCCTCGTAAGGGATTATTAGGTCATTAAAAGACAATGATGATCAATCAGAACTTTGACAGTTATATACTTCACAGGTATTCCTCAACATACAACTGTAAAGGAGCATACAGTCGTATGTTGTAACGGTCATAAAACAGACGGATTTCATATAACTTCTTTGAAGTGGTCATTAAGCAAATGTAATGGTCATTGAGTGAACTGATGGTTCATTGTGGTGCGGTTTTAATGAAAAGTGGAAGTGCCAGGTTTTGGCAAAATTGTCATAAAACGTGACTGCGGGATGCTGCAAACGGCTATAAATACAGTCAAATTCCCGAAGCTTCATCCTGTGTCCTCAGAGCATCTCCAATCGTCAAAACTTCAAATCCGGCCCCTTTTTTTCTAGTCAGTCGAGACTTCCAACGTTCGCTCAGTGACCGGTCGTCAGCGGAGGACAATCTGAATTTCAACAATCTGGATTTCCAGGCCTTTTAAAAAGCGCTGGCTTTTAGTCTGGCGCGTTTCCATGGGGATTGGACGCTTAGTAGGTGATGCTTAAGTGACTTTTAGCAGCTTTCTGTGATTAGCAGACGCTGAGTCCAAGGCACTTGGCTTGTTTGAAAAGCGTTGTGGGAATCGGCTGGGAAGCTGGAGAGTGTAACAAGAGGTTTAAAAAAACGTGAGCGGGGTAGGGTTTTTTGGGTGGGGCGGGGTTTGCAACGTATGAACCCAAAAGCACCTTTGCTGAGCTAAAAGGCCCTCTTTGGATTTCCAAGAAGATGGCCTGACAGCCTGCTCTCCACCTCCTCTTCAATTAGCGCACATATCTCTATATTTTTTTTAAAAAAAAAAAGAGTACACAGAGCGTAATAAATCTCCAGCACTTTCCCCTTCACTCAAAAACCCTGACCAGGTGAAAGACGCCTGGGGCAGCCGCGCTAATTCTCTAGCTTTGGGCTTTGAGGAGTAGCCCCCTTAATACCGGGGACAAATTGATGACAAATCGATTTAGGAATTACGGGCCGATAGCCCCACGGGGAGGCTGGGTCACTGCCCCAGCTCGGCTTCGGAAGGGTGGGGAGTGGGGGAGGACTGGATCCCAGAAGGTGGGGATGAGGAGGTCAGCCGACACATCCCCTTCCTTCCCCTCCCTCGGCCCTTCTTCTCTGGCTGGAGAAGATTGTCCTGACAGATCATTTGGCTCTGACAAACCATTCTGCTTATCCACCAGCCAAGAGGGGCTGCTTGGCAAGGTGGGGTACCCCTGCCAGGCAGGTGGGAGGCAGAAACCTGCCCGAGGGTCCCGGGGACAGCATCCACTAGTATGTGATGTGTTGTGGCAGTTTCCCTGCAGCCTGAAGCCAGCCTGGAGCAAACTCCGCTGATGTCTTTAATTGCTTTCCAATTTGATAGGCCACTTCCTGACAGGCTCGGCTGTGCGGCTGCCAACACTCGCCACTGTCCCCCACTTAGTGTTGGGGGGCAGACAGACAGGCCCCAGTTTCATCTCCTCTCCCCCTCGGCCTTTGAAAAGAAAAAGGGAGCCAACGGGACAAAGAGTTACCCTTGTCTCTCTGGATGGGTGGAGATCGGACCTGCCGGTCTACTGAAGAATTCCTCCCTTGGTGTGGATTCAGGAAGGAGGAAGAAGATGAAAAGTCGTTGGGTTGCCCTGGGACTGATTGAGAGCTGAAATGATTACCAAGGGACCAGATAAACAGATAATCAGAGTTGGAAGGGACCTTGGAGGCCATCTAGTCCAACCCCCCCGTGCCCAAGCAGGAGGCCCTACACCATTTCTGACAAATGGCAGCCCAATCTCTTCGTGAAAGCCTCCAGGGATGATGAACCTCAACCTCCATCAACCACAACCTCCATCAACAATCAGAATCCATCCTTAACAGATTGACAGAGTCGGAAGGGACCTTGGAGGTCATCTAGTCCAATCCCCCCCACCCAAGCAGGAGAGACCCTACACCATTTCTGACAGATGGGAGTCCAATCTCTTCTTGAAAGGCTCAAGGGATGAACCTCAACCTCCATCAACCGCAACCTCCATCAACAATGAGAATCCATCCTTAACAGAGTCGGAAGGGGCATTGGAGGTCATCTAGTCCAACCCTCCCCCCCTGCCCAAGCAGGAGACCCTACACCATTTCTGACAGATGGGAGTCCAAGCTCTTCTTGAAAGTCTCAAGGGATGGCGCTCCCATAACCTCCGAGGGCAACCGCTGTTCTACCAAAAGACTAAAGAGAAGCGGATCGAAGACAGGGAGCCATTTGGCATCTTTTTCACAGAGATCCTCTAGTCCAGGGCTCTCCAACCTCGGCAACTTTACGACTTGTGGACTTTAATTCCCAGAATTCTGGGAGTTGAAGTCCAAAAGTCTTAAAGTTGCCCAGGTTGGAGACCCCCTGCTCTAGGAAGATTTAGGAATTTGGAACAGCTTTTTCTGGGGTCACATGTGGAACTCCTTTTAATCTCTATTTTTTTCTTCTCTTGGTGGGCTACAGCAGTGTTTCCCGACTTTGGCAAATTTAAGATGTGTGGACTTCAGAATAACAGAGTTGGAAGGGACCTTGGAGGTCTTCTAGTCCAACCCCCTGCTCAAGGGAACCGTATGCCATTATATATTATATGTGAGAACTTTTTTCAACTACATGAAAGACTAAGCCATACAACAGCCTCAAAACTGGTTGTCTCTCATCCAGTGTGCAGGACGATGGTTGAGTTCTTGGAATGCTTCTAATGCACCACCCTGCTGAAGCAGTTGATTCTGTACCATTTCAGACAACCTCTTCTTAAACAACTTCTGAAGTCAAGTTGTTCCACTGGTTAATTGCTCTAAAATGTCAGGAAGTTTCTCCTTAGTTCTAAGTTGCTTCTCTCCTTGATTAGTTTCCATCCGTGGCTTCTTGTCCTGCCTTCGGGTACTTTGGAGAATAGCTTGGCTCCCTCTTCTTTGTGCTGGCTGGGGAATTCTGGGAGTCCACACCCATCTTAAAAGTTTCTAAGGTTGAAGAATACTGGGCTAGAGGGTCAGTCCAAGTTCCAAAGCTACATCGTTTTTCAGGCTGCTGAATTTGGCCAAAACAATTCAAGGAAGTCCTGTTTTCATAGAGCATCTCTGGAGAAGGGAGATGGTAATTGGGTTGCTTCAAGGAGTCTTTGGAACGTTGAAGAGATGCTGTGGGGGTTTTTGGAGCGGTGCGGTGGCCTGGAGGTGGAGCGCTCATTTCACAATCAGGAGGCTGTAAGTTCGATCCTAGGTAGAAGCAGATATTTCTCTCTCTGGGCACCATGAGAATATACAGTATCTGTTGAAACAATCTCCATATTGGTGACAGGAAGGGCATCTGGCCAGTAAACACTGAGCTCCATGGAGTTGCCCAGACTCCATCCCCGTAAGGGATTATGGGGTCTTTAAAATAATATGATGATGATGTGGGTTTTTTATGTTGTAAACTGCCCAGAGTCGTCTGTGTGTGAGTTGGGCGACCATATAAATTTGTTTAACAAAAATTAAATTGGCAGAATGGGAGAAATGAAATAGAAATTTTCATTTCTATGGAAATTTCAAGAAATTTTTTTTCTTTAGCTTTCTAAACTAAACAGAAAACCCAAAGCAAGAGGCTCCTCCAGCCATTGGGTAGAAAAAAAAAGACTGAACTTTGGACATAACTGAGCAAGGAAGGTCAGACTCTGTCTTCCAAGATGTGAAGGACGCTCAAATTTTGCAGTGAAGTTTGGGCTGGTCCAGCTTTTTTCATCGCGCAATGTCTAAAGAACGACGGTAGACTTGTTCTCTGCTGCGGGAGAGTCCAATTTCCAGCCAAGGAGAGATTGTCCCTCAAGCATAACTGGGCATTTGAGCAGCGAGGGATCCATTAGGGATGCTGCCTACAGCATCCTTAAAGGATAGGAAGTCTACTATTGAGCTGAGGGTACCAAATGCATCTCTGGGAGAAGTCAGTGAGCGCGCTTGAGCAAGCTGCACGAACCTCAGAATGTCCTTGCCGCTCTTCCTTTGGATTCCTTCTGAGATGCCAACTTCCTTAAGCCAGGATTTTTTTCCAAGCCCAGCAGGTGAAGTCAATAAATCCTGGTTAGAAACATACAATCTACATACATTCCCCTGCTGGAGCCTGTATTGTGGAATGAGGAATCAAAGCAATTCCTTTTTTTTAAAAAAAAAAAAACAAGTTAGAAGAGGCTTCATCCCCGCCTCCACCTCCAAAGCTGCTTAGCTTTTTAAAAGCTTAAGGTATTTTACGATGATGGATTTTATCATTCACTCCCGGAGTCATGGGTTCACCATTTGGGACCTTCCCAGCCATCTTCCAGCAAGCAAAATCAAATGAGGGAAGCTGGATGTCAGAGCTCCAACAAATTCATCCTCATTCAAATCAAAAGTCTCTAGCCACATCTCAGGGAAAGGTAAATTGGTTTATTAGAAATGGCCATGTTGGCGCGTGGCTGGGTGCAGCCAGTACTAAATCACATCATACATTTCCCCCTTGACCCTGGTCTTTCCTCCACCCCCTGGATGTGACTTCTCCAATGGGACACATCCACCTCCAAGAGTCATCCATCATGCTCTCCAATAACCTTCTTATGCTCCGACAACTTTGGGCTGCCGAGGTGATTATCTAGGCAATTCAAGAATGCCATGTTTTCCCCCAATCCCTTTTTCTGGCAGCTAAAAAGACCAAAGGAGTATTTTTTTTAGTTGACACTGGATTCACTTAATAGCCATGTGATTCATTTAACAACCACAGCAATTTGCTTAACAACCAAGTTGTAAAAATTGGGTGCAACTCAATTAACAACTGCCTTGCTGGGCAATGGAAATTATGTCCCCAATTGGGGCTGTAGGTCAAGGACTACCCCTATCATTGAGGTCACCTTCCTGTACCAAAATTCGTGCAGAGCAGTGGTGGGATTCAAATAATGTAACATCCGGTTCTCTGCCCTAATGATTTCTTCCAACAACCAGTTCACCAAACTGCTCAGGAACTTAACAACCGAGTCTTGTGAACCGGTGAAAACCGGCTGAATCCCATCCCTGCTGCAGAGCCTAGACGTCCTTTCCCGACTTAAAAGAATAAAAAGTTTTTCAGAAAGGGCAGACGGGGAGATCACTGTAATCTGAGACTAAAGAGGGAGTAGGACCATTTTTTAACATTTAAGAGAACAGAGAGAAAGAAAGAAAAATAATAATAATAAAATACTTCAGCTCCTTCCCTGGAGATCCTGCGAGAAGCACCACAACTAAAAGTTCTGGGAAAGAGGAAACAGTGGAGAATTTCGGCAGGCGCTCACAAAGTGCTTACCCTGAAGGGCCATTAGCAGCAGCCTGCATTATTGAAGAAGGGCTGATGGAGCCACCGCCAACACCGGCTGGCCCTGGGGGCAAACCACTCGGCGGTGCTTTGGAAAACCCGCAAGGCCCCAGCCGCCAGGCGAAAGGAGACCAGACCGTCAGGCTGGGAAACTTAGGTGGGTTCAGCATCTCTTGTGTTCCTGAACTTCTTCCCGGACATCGTGTTTTTGAGTCCTTCACTTGGAAGAAGAACGGTTAATGGACACATGCAGAACTTCGTGCTTTTTTTAAAAAAATAAATAAAAGAGAGGTGTTGTAGAATTTCCCTTTTAACGGGGAAACTGTTCTTGGGCTCTTTTAAGAGAGAGTGTATGAATTTGGGCTGCCCCTTGAGAAGGCTTCCTTTGCGTTGAGAGCTTGCCTTCCGGCTTCAAAAGGAGTTAAGAGTTTTATTTGTGGATCTGATTCATTACAGTTTATAGGTCTAGTTAATAATTTATAACCGTGTTAACCAGGAATGCTTAGTCCAAAGCATAGGTTAGAATGCGTTTCGTAACTCTAGAAATGAGGTTCTGTTCAAACATCTTGATCTCAGGGTGGATGGATGGATGGATGGAAGGAAAGAAAGGAGGGAGGGAGGCGGAAGGAATTAACTATATATATTCCAAGAATCTATGGAAAGGAGAGGAGAGGAGAGGAGAGGAGAGGAGAGGAAAGGAAAGGAAAGGAAAGGAAAGGAAAGGAAAGGAAAGGAAAGGAAAGGAAAGGAAAGGAAAGGAAAGGAAAGGAAAGGAGGAAGGAAGGAGGAAAGGAAAGAGGAGAGGAGAGGGAAGGAAAGGGGGAAAGAAGGAAGGAAGGAAGAAAGGAAAGGAACTTTAGCTATGAAAGCCAGCTGGGTGACTTTGGACCAGGAAACTGGGAGTTCTAGTCCCACCTTAACTATGAAAGCTAGCTTGGTGACTTTCTGTCTCAGCCCAACCTACCTCACAGGATTGTTGTTTGGGGGAAAATAGGGAGAAGGAAGGAAGGATTTGCTTTATCCGCCACCTTGTGTTGCTTGTAAAACATAATAATAAAGGCAGGAGAACCAATAAACAAACACACGTAAATAAGATCCAGTCCCTTTTGCAAGCCATCCTTGCTGTCAGTTACTCCAGCAAGTTAAGCAATCACTTGTTGCGCCTGGAATAAAGGCGGCATTTATTTGGTTTCCATCAGCCAGGGGATGATTTGTCTTTCCTCCCAACCCAGCCTCTCTGCCTTCTCCCCAGGATAAAAAGCTGCTTGGTTCTTTGGCAACTGCCGTTGTCTTCAGGCGGAGATTTGTGCTGTAAAATGCACAATATGTTCTATCTGCCCTTTGGGAGACATCAAATATTCACCAGGCTGAAAAAGGGAAAACTCGCTTCATGCTTCTCCCTGCTCTGCCCCCCCCCCCCAATTCGGGAAGGGGTCAAAATGTGCCAGATCTCCAGCTATGATGCTGTGTGGGATTGCAGGAGAGAGGGAGGGAGGGAGGGAGGGAGGGAGAGAGAGAGAGAGAGAGAGGGAGGGAGGGAGGGAGGGAGGGAGGGAGGGGGGGGGAGGGAGGAGACTGAAGGACACCAGGACAAGGCTTGTGATGGGTGAGAACACAACATGGACCCCCAATAGCTGATCTAAGTCTTCCCCTGCACACACACGCTGCTTAATCCAAACACACAATAGATTTGGGTGGGCGAGAGACACCGAGAGAGAAGAATTGGCTGATGAGCTGGTGAATCAGAGACCACAAGTTTGAATCAAAACTTCTAATAAAGACGGAGAAGCTGTAAATACAGTGGAGAACCAGTTTGGACTCGTGGTTAAGGCACCAGACTCGAAAACAGGAGGCTGGGAGTTCTAGTTCTCCCTTAGGCACAAAAGCAGACTGGGTGACTTTGGGCCAATCACCAGGAGATGGTGAGTTCTAGTTCTGCCTTAGCTATAAAAACTGGCTGGGTGACGTTGGGCCAGTCACCAGGAGATGGTGAGTTTTAGCTATAAACTTAGCTATAAAAACCAGCTGGGTGACTTTCAGACAATCACCAGGAGATGGTGAGTTCTACTTCTACCTTAGCCCTGAAAGTCAACTTTGGGCTGACTTTGGGCCAATCTCTGTCTCTCATCCCAACCCACCTCACAGGGTTGTTGTTGTGGGGAAAACAAGAGGAGGAAGGAGCAGTAGGTATGTTCACCACCAACAATTGTTTATAAAAAAATAAAGGTGGAACATAAATATTTTTTAAAAAAAAAAAATCCCAGGAAAACTTTTCACACATACATGAATTACACGTATATTCCTGGGTGCATGAATGATAAGGTAAAGGTTCCCCTTACATATCCGTGCTAGTCATTTCCAGATCTAGGGGGTGGCACTCATCTCTGTTACAAAAGCCAAAGAGCCAGCGCTGTCCGAAGACGTCTCCGTGGTCATATGGCCGGCATGACTAAACCCTGAAGGCGCACGGAACGCTGTTCCCTCCCCACCAAAGGGGTCACTATTTTTCTACTTGCATTTCTTACATGCTTTCGAACCGCTAGGTTGGCAGGAGCTGGGGCAAGTCACGGGAGCTCACTCCATTACACGGCGCCGTGGATTCAAACCACCTAACTGCCGACCTTTCTGATCGACAAGCTCACTGAGCCATAGGGGGGGCTGAAATCCGTTCACCCCGTGTGCAAAAAGGGGACAACACAACTTCGCAGCACAGGATGCATTGTGTGCCACGGAGTTTCCTTCCCTCTTTTTGCAGAGGACAAACTTCCTCAAGAGGAAGAGATGCGGGACTCAGGCACGGGGCCTCCCCCGCTTGAAACAATGCAGTCTCTGCAAAGCCATTCCCCAAGTCTTCTCACCTCCCCCCCCCCTTTCCCAGTCCTCTCCATCTGTTCCTCTGCAGCTGATGCTGATGTCTTTTGACAAGGCCCTCCTGCACACAAGACTGTTTTGCCCAGAAAATCTATTACAAGTTGCTCTGAGACAGACAGAAATTTTTCTCCTTCTGCCACACCGAACTGGTCTTGCTCAGTGTCCCACCCGGGGCAGGAAAGGAGGTTCGGCGTGGGCAGAGGGGCTGTGGTCTCTGATCAGACAGGAGTATAGAGTGGGGGAGGACACACACACACCAGACAACTCACAAGCAATCTGGCCAGCTCCCTCCCACCTTGGGACAATCGGAAATAATTGGGGATACAGGATCTCTCTCTCTCTCTCTCTCTCTCTGATCCCCCCATCCCCGCTTTCCTCTGGGGGAACCTCAGGGTGGTTGCGTCCATCTGCCACAAACTCACTCACTTTAACAAAACCACATCTGATGGATCGCGGCGGGCAGGGGGACATGGAGAGAAGGCCTTGGGGGAATGAATCAGAACTTTAGAACCCAAGCTGGCCTGCGAAATTAAAAAAAAAAAATTAATACAATTGAATTGGAAAGCAAACTTGAGTTTTCCCTGTTGAAAAAGACAGCAAAAAAAAGGCATGTTCTGAAGAGCCGAAAGACCACAAGGCCCCAGCCGCACGTACAAACAGGTAGAGAGAGGCTGGTTTAAACGTTTTGAAGGAGGGAAAGGAATCCATCAGAATAGAGCTGGCAGGGACCTTAGAGGTCTTCTAGTCCAGCCCCCTGCTCAAGCAGGCGATCCTATATCATTTCAGACATGTGACTGTCCAGTCTCTTCTTAAAAACCTCCAGCGATGGAGAACCCTCAACTTCTGGAGGCAAGTTGTTCCACTGGTTAATGGTCTTCGCTGTTAGGAAGTGGCTCCTCAATTCCAAGGTTGCTTCTCTCCACGATGAGTTTCCACCCGTGGTTTCTTGCCTTGCTTTCTGGTGCTTTGGGAAAATAAAAGTTTACCTCCTCCTTTTTCTTCCTTTCCTTGGGGTGGATGGAAGCATGGAAGCTAAAGAGGCTGCATACGGAAGAGAGAAGTTTGGAAAAGTCGAGAGGTTCACACACCCAACTTCCTGGGCAATTCATCCCTAAAGAAGGCAAGGACACCATTTTTCATTCAGGGGGAAACTCATCCAGATTTGCTTCCCCTTTGGAAGGAAATCTTGGGGGCAATTTCTCTTTATCAAACGAGACAACAATCAGGCGGGGGGAGAAAAACTCAAGAAAGTGCCTTTTCCTGCCACTAATTTTAATTCCACCCCCACCACCCTTTCAACCTGTGCAGGAGTGTCAAATGTCATGTTCAAAGTCCCAGTGCTAATTCTGAACTAGAATTTTGCCCAAACGGTGATATATATTTAGATGCAGGAAATTTAAAACATTTTGGAATGGAATGGAATAGAAGAACACCTTGGAGGCCTTCCTGGTACAGGCGGAGTCTTTAATTGCTAAACTGGCGCGTGAAGATTTACAGATACATGTGCTTATGATGATAAATTGCATGAATGGAAGAGTCGATGGTGTGTCTACCTGGAATGTGCCTTGGCATTCATTATGGCTGTAATTATTGATGTTGGACTTAACGTTGCATGGATGTTTATTTATTTATTTTTGCTGGTACTGTTGTCTATATAGCTTTTGACTGTATCAGCATTAAACTTTAACAATAGGAAGAGTATTGAATGCTTTCGAACTTTGACGTTGGTGAAGGCTCCTGAGAGTACCCTGGACGTCCAAGAAGACAAATTAGAATAGAATAAGAGTTGGAAGGGGCCTTGGAGGCCTTCTATCCAACCCCACCAATCAGGCACGAAACCCTATACCATTTCAGACAAATGGTTGTCCATACTCTTCTTAAAAACCTCCAGTGATGGAGCCTTTACAACTTCTAGAGGCAAGTTGTTCCACTGATTAATTGTTCTAACTGTCAGGAAATTTCTGCTTCGTTCTAAGTTGCTTCTCTCCTTGATTGGTTTCCATCCATTGCTTCTCATCCTGCCTTCAGGTACTTTGGAGAATAGCTTGACTCCCTCCTCTTTGGGGCAGCCCCTCAAACATTGGAACACTGCTATCATGTCACCCCTAGTTCTTCTTTTCATCAAACTAGACCAGGGTTCTCCAAACTTGGCAACTTTAAGACTTGTGGACTTCATAGCATAGCTGGCTGGAGAATTCTGGGAGTTGAAGTCCACAAATCTTAAAAGTTGCCAAGTTTGGGGACCTCTGAACTAAACGTACCTTGTACCAGCAACTGTTCTTCATTTAGCCTCCAGTTCTCTAAATCATCTTCCTTGCTCTTCTCTGCACTATTTCTAGAGCGATTGATCATCGAACGGCGCCATCCAGAATTCTCACTCAAGACACAAATGACTAGGCTCAAGTTATCCTACTTCGGACATGTTATGAAAGCTTTCTGGAAAAAGGCTCTACTGCTGGAGCAAGACGGATGGAATCGGTTATAGTAGCAATCTGTACAACGTTGAAAGACCTGGTTAGGGGCCCATCAGCAGGGAGCAAATCTATTTATCCAGTGGCTAAGAACCGACACACACCAATTGTGGGTAGTTCCTGACTTGCGACCACAGCTGAGATCAACATTTCAACTGCTAAGCAAGACAGCTGCTAAGTGAGTTTTGCGCCATTTTACGACCTTTCTTGACACTGTCAAGTGAATCGCTGCAGTTAAAGTTAGTCGCATGGTTGTTAAGGGAATCTGGCTTTTCTGTTCCAATTCTGCTTGTTGCAAATGGGGACCACACACACATGATCCCAGGACATTGCAAGCCAGCTGCATAACATCTGAATTTTGATCACGCGATCACGAGGATGCTGCAATGGTGGTAAGTGTGAAAAACAGTCATAAGTCACTTTTTTTTCTGTTGCCGTTCTAACTACAAATGGTCACTAAACGAACTGTTGTAAGTTAAGAACTACCTGTATTAAAGATGGCAAATTAACCCTGATTTTAGTTCTGCGGTTATAGGAGGCCTCTGAAGTTAACGGAAAACCAGAATAAGGAAGATAGGTTTGCTGAAGTTGCAACCGATTTACTGAGCAAACTCAGGAAAACCGATTTCCAAAATGATTCAAATGCTTTTAAAGGGCTTACAAAATGATGTAATATTGGAGCAGAGGTGGTGTTCAGCTGATTCTGACCAGTTCCAGAGAACCAGTACCAAAAATTCTGAGTCGATTGGAGAACCATCCAATCCCACCTCTGAATGGCCCTGCTCCCAACTATTCTCCGCCTCCTGAGTCCCAGCTGATTGGCTGGCTCTTCTTTGGTTGCCCTGCACAGGAGAACGGAGCTGGAAAGCAGGTTAAAGGGATGGGGAGGGAATGGGGATTTTGCAGTATCCTTCCCCAATATTTAATTATGAACAGGGAAAAGGATTTCTTGAGACCTGCAGTATCACACGTGCCTCTCCTAACTCATGTGGGTGTGTTGATTGTCTCTGGTTGTTGCTTGACAAACAGCTTTTGGCTGGTTTCATATGCATCAGTTCACAAAAACATAACGGAGATCACAACTTAACTTCGCTAAGTTTATGGTTAGAGATGGTATTCCGCAGGTTCTGACCAGTTCTGGAGAACCGGTAGCTGAAATTGTGAGTAGTTTGGAGAACTGGCAAATCCCACCTCTGACTGGCCCCGTCCCCATCTATTCTCCACTCCCAAGTGCCAGCTAACGGCTGGGTCTTCTTTCGTTGCCCTGCACAGGAGAACGGAGCTGGAAAGCAGGTTAGTGGGGTGGGGAGGGAAGGGAGATTTTACAGTATCCTTTCCCTGCCACGCCCACCAAGCCACATCCACAGAACCGGTAGTAACTTTTTTTGAATCCCATCACTGTACTGGACTAAGCCAATCTGAACAGTTTAAACACATCATCTGAAACCTGGTCACATCAATGCTTCCTCTGAACAGTCTTAATGGCCAAGATAAGAGAATAACAGAGTTGGAAGGGACCTGGAGGTCTTATTTTAGGAGATGGATGTTTTGAGCCTCAGAAGCCCCTGCAGACAAGGCCCAGTGTCCATTTGCTCTCTGATCTAAGGGCAGCACCTGCAAGTATCTCCACCCAAGATGACTTCACACATGGTGATGAAGTTTCCATTTTAAATGAGCCTGATTGTTTCCTGTTGACCTTTGAGTGTGCAATCTGGGGAGATGGGTGAAGTCTGACAGACCTGAAGAAAGTAGACACCAGGTAGAGGAAGGCTGGTGTCCACATAACTATGGACCAGAGCAGCAATTAATGGCGTTAGACCTCTGATGATATCTACAGGGTGTTTCATTGGGTTGCAGAGAACAACCATGAGATGGAGATTGATAAGATGAACTCCATTGATTGCAATTAGCGTTATCAAATGGGAGTCACTCTAAGGGTTGGCAGTTCCCCCAGTGGCTTCTCCTGCTTGAGCAAGGGGTTGGGCTAGAAGATCTCCAAGGTCCCTTCCAACTCTTGTTATACTACCTTCCAACCCTGTCATCTTCTGATCTTATGGGTGATTGTAGCTAGAGAGGAACAGCTAATGCTGATCTTTGGACTTTGCTGCCCTCTGCTGTTGATGAGTGTTCAGTCAACCTACTTATGGCCTGGCAGCTCAACTGAGCGAAGTCTAATTTACAAAATGCATGTTGCACCTAAATACTGTACATGTTTTATGTATCTAATGTATCAGATTTCCCCCCCCCACACACACACACACTTATGTCTCATTTTTTCCCTGTAAAAGGGGCATGATTGTAGCCAACTCAAGTATCACACCCACCCACACCCTGAATAGTGAAATGTTTCTGATGTGTTAAAACTCTAGTATATGGTCTTTTAAAGTCTCCTTTTCCCAGTTCCATTTACTCTGGAGTAGAGCAGGCAATACAGACAGTTGAGAACTCTGAGAACTGAAGCATTATCTTCACATTTGCACATAACACAAAATATTGATGGGAGAACTAAAAATACTGACTTATCCCACTTGCTAAACCTAGAATGACTGCTGGCCACATTTTGTGTTCAAATCAGGGACATTAGTTTCACATAAAATGATAGGACCAGCTGAATTATTAAATATGCTTACACCACATACGTCTCGTGTTTTAGCCAAGTTTACTATACTGAGCAAATTCAGCTCTGTAGCCTTCCAAATGTGTTGGGTGAAACCAATGCTATGTTTTCTAAACTTGGCAAATTTAAGAAGTGGAGACTTCAACTCCCAGAATTCTAGCTGGCAGGGGGATTCTGGGAATGGAAGCCCACATAGTGTAAAGTCGGCAAGATTGAGAAATGTTCTTGGCTGTGCTGATTAAAGGCGATAGAAATTGTAATTACACTTCTCCCAACATCCCAGTGGAGAAAAATTAAATGTACCCTTTTCACTCTTTCAACATCTGCATCCTCCCCAAAACGTATCGAGAAAGGCAAACATTTTTTTTTTTTAAAAAACCAACGTTTTAATTCTTATTTGGTCCTTTGGAACCTGAGCTTGAAAACCACTCATGGGATAATTCATATTATACAGGGAGCTGATTACAGATTTGATTTACAATTGATAAAATATCCTATGCTTTTTCTTAAGAGGTGCACAATATTTACATGATTAAAAATTATTCACAGCTCAGCGAGAGTGAACCGAAAAGACACACACGTACATTAGACACGAAAGAAAAAAAGGCTTAAGAAAGCGGAAATGGCCGACGTAAATTTCTGGACGGAACCCAAACGGATAAATGGGCCATTCCTGTGGCCCAGAACAATGAAAAGCGGAGGCCAACAAGTGAAGAGGGCAAAGGAGCAGAAGAAACAAACAAGGAGATGAAATTAAGCTTCCTTTCCGCTGCTACCTGAATATGGGTGAGGAATAAATGTTACAGGTAGGAAGTATGGTAAAAGATTGGCATTGCTGCTTCATTCCCCAAGTCCTGGCAATGCCATTTTAGCCTTCAGTTCAGGCATACCCTGTCCTTCTGGAGGTTTCCGTGCAATGCCGATGTCACTTCCTACACGTCAAAGCCCTTTTCCCTCCCCTCCTCCTGAGAGTTTAATGGTGTATTTGCAAACAAATCTGCTTTGACATCAGCGTTAATTGCTAAACATTCCTACCCGCCACCCAAACGTGCTCAAGGTTCTCCGGGGAAGAAGAATGGCTATTAAAACACATGGAGGCTGCCTTGAGCTCTCCACGAAGAGAGAGAGAGAGAAGAGAATCATAATCCCAAATCCTTCCTGCAGCCAGGAAAACTTCAGTTCAACCAACTCTCGACGTCAGAAGGGGGTATCAACACTTTGGAAGGATTGAGTTGCTGGCCTTTGGATGGGACAGGTCAACAAAACCAGCTGGTCAGATTTCTTGTAAAGATCTTCGTAACCTCACCCCATGCCACCCATTCCCAATGCACCTCCCAGCCCCCGTGGCCACTTGCCACTAAAGGCCGCTACCATTTTCCCGAAAGCGAGTGCTAGGAGACTGAAATGCTGGCTTTTCTGAACACAGAGCGGTCAACTTTGCTCTAGAACGGAGGTCTCCAAACTTGGCAACTTTAAGACTTGTGGGCTTCAACTTCCAGGATTCTCCAGCTGGGAGTTGAAGCCCACAAGCCTTAAAAGTTGCCAAGTTTGGAGACCTCCGTTCTAGAAGTTTGTCCACATCTTTTGTCCACATCTGGGTGAGCAAAAGCTGCCTCTCCACCAATTTTCTGGGTGAGGACCAGAGAACCGCTCCAATTCTACAGAACGCAGGATTCTACGATCAGCTGGGGAATCTATCCACTGGACACTGGAAGGATGACATTTCATGGGTGCAGGAGAAACGTCTCCAGTTCCTAATTTCCAGCGGCTGCGTTTACGCAGGAGCAGGTACACAACTTTCTTTAGGGATACCTAGATGCTTTTGCCTTTATCCTTTTCTCTGACTGGCCTGAGTTAATGCTCTCTCTATGGCTCTGTCCCATTTGTGATCAGCCCGCAGAGCTTTAAAAAAATTTTTTTTTTTTTTGCGTGGTCCAGTGCTTATTCTGCAGGAGAGTCCAACAGTCAAGACCCACAATTGTTGTTGTGCCACCGATCGGTAGACCAAGGACTCCGGAGAAGATTCAGCCACTGCCTATGTCTCCAGATGACTTGTTAAGCCAACTAGGGCCAAAGGTTGACCATCTCACGTCCCTTTGGTCTTGCTAAACAACAACTAATCTCTGGAGGAGACATGTCAAGCACGCTGGCCAAATCGTCCCCCCACTCCCAGTCGCACTGGGAAGCCCCCTGCCCCTCTCAAATTTCAAGCAAAGGGCACAAGTCCGCCCCTTCTCCCGGTCCCAGCCCCGCCATCCCTACGGCATCTACTGCCTAGACAAGAGGCTGGGGAAGAGGAAAGGGGCTAATCTCCTATCTGCAGCAGATTTGAGACAAACCTTCTCTAGATGCCTTCATCAGCACTAGTGAGCTGGACAGGAGACCATGGAGTTCAGGTTGTGAAGAGGAACATCTGCTCCTGGAGAGGAACATCTGCTCCTGCTGACGCCTCAGCATTCTTGAGTCCACACTTCCTCCAACCTTCTCTCAAGATCAAGAGGGCTGGCGAGAAGAACTCTATCCCTGCTTCCCTGGGTTGAACCCATCCTGTTTCACTAGAAACCAACCCTGCCCCGGATATACCCTGTCCCCGAGTCTGAACTCCACAGATCTTCGTGAGGCTCAGCTTTGTCCTCCTTCTGACCATCTGCCCGCCTTCTGACCATTAGAGGCCCACCATCTCCCGGCAGGAATTCATCTGGCCTTCATGGGAAGATGGAAGAATCTTCTACTGGTGGCTTCTCAAGGCCTCTATGGGAGGCTGAGCACCCAACGGCAGAAGGCTAAAAGTGCTAAACTCACTCCACGTCTTCGGGTGAGTCCACCTGTCAACTTTCCAGGTAGAGCTAAACCCTGCAGCATGGAAGGCAGAGGGACTCCACTAGTCTGTTTCCCTCTCCTCTCATGCCTGATTTCTGGCTTATCTTTCTTGGGAGGGGGGAGGGGGAAGGGCCCAAAAAGCAGAAATGGGGGCGTGTGCTCCCCTCCCTCTTTGAACAGCTAGAGAACCTCCACAAGGAAATGGGACTCCCAACTCTTTCTAAGGGCCGAGGTCCCGTGCATTCACTTCCTCTGCTTCGGCCCCCAGCTGCAACGCAAGGACCTTGCAATCCAACAAACGCGCACGGGTTTCACCTCTCTAGGGCAGCGGTCTTCAAGCTTGGCAACTTTTAAGATTCATGGACTTCAACTCCCAGAATTCCCCAGCCAACCTGTAGACCTGTGGACTTCAGCTCAATCGTCCAGGCCCAGGAGATTTATGGCAGGGGTGTTCAAATCTTGGCCACTTTAACTTCGACTATAGACCTCGACTCCCAGAATTCCCCAGTCAACCTTTTAGACCTGTGGGCTTCAGCTCAATTCAAGGAAGCTTTGCTGGCTGAGGAACTCTGGGAGTTGAAGTCCACGAGTCTTAAAGTGGCCAAGCTTGGGGGCCCCTGCCCTAGAGGACACCGATAAGGATACGACAACACAAAGACAAATTAAGACCTTTTGCCCTTCCCAGGCGGATAAAGCATTAGCTGGCCGTCCACCGAAACGGAGGCGTGGGCCTTTGTTCCTCGCCCAGCCCCAGGTAGGAGTGGGTGGTCAGAAGGAGGGAACCAGGGGGCAGGTGCCAAACCAAAGACACCCCCCAGCTCCGTGTCTTCAGGAGGGCTTCCGCTGGGTTGCAGCAATGAGTCCCTCCAGGAAAAGCACCCCACTCTGCACCACAGCTGCCTCTTGCACGTGTTGCATTGGGAGGTGGGTGCTGCATCCTGTGCAACCTGCTTTGGGCGGGGGGGGGGCGCTAGTGTGAAACGCCGCTCACCTTAGGCGACTGCAGGCCTAGGTCTACCCTGGTGGATTTGCAGGCTCCCTCTCTCTCTCTGGAAACCAGGGGTGTCTGACCTTGGCTACTTTAAGACCGGTGGACTTCGACTCCCAGAATTCCCCAGCCAGCATGGCTTCCTTGAATGGAGCTGAAGTCCACAGGTCTGGTAAGGTTGGCTGGGGAATTCTGGGAGTCGAAGTCCACAGGACTCAAAAGTTGCCGAGGTTGGACACCCCTGCCGTAAATCTCCTGGGCCTGGATAGCCGGTGCCAGAAGGGAGATGAAAGCTACCTCCTTCACCTTCAGGGGAGCCGAGGACCCTCTCTAATGCCCCCCGCCCTCAGCTGCTGACACCAGGAACCGCGAGGGAAGGCAGACAGACAGACAGACACATTCGCCAGAGATATATTGTTGCAGCCGTAGGATATCTGGTGGCTGAGGGAAGGACCGCGTCCCCGTGGGCCGTGCCGCTGGCAGCGCTCAGGCCGTTCGGTAGGGCTGGAAGCCTGCGAGGGGCATATCCTTCCCCACAGCTCTAAATTTTTTTTTTTCCTTGCTCTCCTATCCTGACCGCAGCTTTGGATAAAGTGCATCTTCTGTGGGGAAAAGGGAGGGCGGGGGAAGGAGAGAAGGGGGAGGGGAACCTGAGCAGCTCCCGGCCTAACCCTAGAGAACGGGAGACGAGGGGCTTCGTTTGAAACCCGCGACTCCTCGGTCCTCCTTAATCCTGACGGGCTCTGCACGGATGGCTGGGGCAATGCGCGAGACAGGCGGGGCTAGAAGAAGGCAGAAGCAGAAGAGGGGGGCAGGGGGGGGCCCTTTGTCATAGCGGCCGGGGCCCGTGAAGTCCCGCCACCTCGGGGGTGAGCAGGGGGTTGTGCGTCCCCTTGGTGGACATCCAGTCGTTCAGGAACGCCTGGGTGGCCTTGCGGTGGGCCAGGCGGTGCGTGATGGAGAATCCGGCGTTTCCTTCCAGTTGGGATAAAATCACCAGGACCTGCCTGAAGGAGGAGAAGAACCAAAACAGAGAAAAGGGGAGGAAAGAAGGGTGGGAGAGGGAGGTGAGAGTGTTTCTTGAGTCTGAAGAATCATTAAAATCCACGCCAAAAAAGAAAGAACGTTTCAGCCGATGTCTTACAGAATCGCTAAATGGTGCAAAATGGGGACGTTCTCATCTAAAAGGAGATGAAAACACAGGGATTAAGCTCACTCTAAACCATCAAAGAGAGCCAGTTTGGTGCACTGTAGTGGCATCAGACTAGTAGACTGTGAGTTCTAGTCCTGCTTTAGGCACAGAGCCAACGGGGTGATCTTAAATTTTTCTGGCAGTAAATAACCGGTGCCCAGGAAACCGAGGTCAAACTCTCGGGAAGCTAAGAATCCATTCTTTTCTTGTTCCTTCCTCTTCCACGCTCTTATTATGGGAGAAGTCCCAAAGGTGCCTTTTTTTTCAAGAGACAATTGGACTTTCTGGTTTTTTTTTCTTTGAAGATGTTTCGCTTCTCAACCAGGAAGCTTCTTCACTTCTAGTAAAATTAAAATGAATAGAACTAGAACTAAAGAAGCTTCTTGGATGAGAAGCGAAACATCTTCAAAGAAAAACCAGAAAGTCCAGTTGCCTCTTGAAAAAGCACCTTTGGGAAATACTATTCTTATTCTTATTCAATTCTAATTTTAATTCTAATTCTAATTCTATTCTATTGTACCCTATGACTATCATTAAGCGTTGTACCTGATGATTCTTGACGAATGTATCTTTTCTTTTATGTACACTGAGAGCATTTGCACCAAGACAAATTCCTTGTGTGTCCAATCACACTTGGCCAATAAATAATTATATTCTATTCACTCAATAGGGCAGGGATTCACATGAAGTTTCAGAACCCGCTTGGTTTGTGGTTAAGGCACCAGACAAAAACCTCGGAAGGATGGAAGTCAACCTTGAGCCCCGTCAGGATCAAACTCCTGGCAGTGGGCAGAGTTTGCCTGCTTTGCTGCACTCTAACCACTGCACCGCCAGGATTTTTCTAGCTAGCCGGGTGACTGAGGGCCAGTCACTTCCCTCTCGGTCTTAGGACAATGGCATACTACTTCTGAAAGACCTTGCCATGAAAACTGCCAGGAATAATATGTAATAAATGAAGTGTCAGTTGGACTAGTGGTTAAGACACCGGGCTAAAAACTGGGAGGCTGTGAGCTCCAGCCCTGCCTTAAGCACAAAGGCAGCTTAAGTGACCGGCTTTGGGCCTGTCACTGTCTCTCAACCCTAGGAAATAGGCAATGGCAGAACATTTCTGAAAAACCTTGCCAAGGAAACCACAGGGATTAGTCCAGTCACTGATTTGCAGGCTGACACACATACGCAAGAGACCCCAAAATCTCTCTCTCTCTCTCTCATCTCTCATCAATCAATAATCTATCTCTATCTATCTATCTATCTATCTATCTATCTATCTATCTATCTATCTCATCTATCATTCTATCATCTATAATTTATCTATCCATCTATGTAACATCATCTATGTATCATCTATAATCATTCAATTTATCTACCAATCAATTTATCTATCTATCTATCTATCTATCTATCTATCTATCTATCTATCTATCTATCTATCTATCTATCTATCATCTATAATCAATCAATCAATTTATCTATCTATCTATCATCTATAATCTATCTATCTATCTATCTATCTATCTATCTATCTATCTATCTATCATCTATAATCAATCTATCTATCATCTATAATCAATCAATCTATCTATCTATCTATCATCTATAATCAGTCAATCTATCTATCTATCTATCTATCTATCTATCTATCTATCTATCTATCTATCTATCTATCTATCTATCTATCTACCTATCTATCTATCTATCTATTATTTATTTCAAGGGCTGATTAGGGATCTTACTTCTCCTTAGCTTCAGCATTTGAATGGACATTGGACCACCCTTACCTGCAATGCTATTTTGCATTTCTGGGCTCTCACCTGTGCAGAGGTGGCACACTGTCCTGTGTCTTCAAGCTGCCCCGAGTGGACACAACATTGAAGCTATCTGTGCAATCACACTGGACGTGGAGATAGGACTTGGGGTGCCGGTTCTCCACCACGACGATGAGACCGGCCCAGCCGTGGGTCAGGTAGTAGCAGGTCATCCCTTCACGCCCCTGTTCCAGAAAGGAAAAAAACAATCCGCCTATTCCTCTGAAGGAGTCGTGCGTCAACACGCTGAAGGTTGGGATAAAATTTGCATCTCATCCAATGGTGGGATTCAAAATTTTTTTACTACCTGTTCTGTGGGCGTGGCATGGCTTGGTGGGCATGGCTTGGTGGGTCTGGCAGGAGAAGAATATTGTAAAATCCCCATTTCCACCCAACTCCAGGGGAAGGTTACTGCAAAATCCCCATTCTTTCCTCACCCAACTAACCTGCTTTCCAGCTCCGTTCTCCTGTGCAGGACAACAGAAGAAGACCCAGCCAATCAGCCGGGACTCAGGAGGCGGAGAATAGATGGGGGTGGGGCCAGTCAGAGGTGGGATTTGCCGGTTCTCTGAACTACTCAAAATTTCCGCTACTGGTTCTCCAGAACCGGTCAGAACCTGCCACCTCTGATCTCATCACACTAAGCCAGGAGCGTCCAACCTTGGTGACTTTAAGACTTGTGGACTTCAACTCCCAGAATTCCCCAGCCAGCACAGCTTTCTTTCAGCACAGCTGGGGAATTCTGGGGATTGAAGTCCACAAGTCTTAAAGTCACCAAGGTTGGACACCCCAGCTTCAAACGAAGAACCTGCTTGTGACATTCTAGGGATTTGAAGTCCACGGGTCTTCAAGTTGACAAGGCTGAATCATCCTTATGATTCAGTGGGTGGGTTGATCAACAGGTGACTCAATGATCCCAAACTCAGAGAACTGAAATATTTTTTTTTTAATTCCTTTTCTAATCATTTTAATGTCAATAAACAGTACCGCCAACCCCAAACCCAAACCTCTTGAAGAGACTAAAGAGGATGACGGCTACCAGCACCCACCTCATGCCGCTCGCCCTTGTTCTCCGTGAGGAGAATGATGGCATCGGCCAACGTGGTCGATTGGGCCTCAATTTGTTCTACCATCACGAGGCGGGAACCGTAGATGGCCAAGATGTAGCTGGAGATCTCGGCGGGTGGGCATTCGCTGCTCGACGTAGGGCTGGAGCCTTTGAAAGATGGAGAAATACGGAGACAGGGCTGTTGTAAGAGGCAGTGCCTTCAAGCTTGACACCTTCCTGCATGGCAACCCTACAACTACCGTAAGAGTAGGGTCAGACCTCCACTCCAGTCTCCAGGGAGAGCCGGAAGGGAGTAGGATCCAAAAGCCATCCCTGTCTGAAGAATCAAGAGCTCTGCCCCACAGCCCTTGGGAACTTTCGTTAACTTCTTCCGGGAAAACGTAAAACTCCCAATTATTCAGTTGACTATTTGGTGGAAGTTCCTTTTTTCACTGAAGAGAGCGAATGTCGAGGGAGAATTAAGGAGAGAAGGAAGGCATTAAGATATATTTGTCAGGGTTTTTTGTCTTGCTTTGCCTCCAGGTGCAAAACCGTTGTTCCCACAAGGAACAATCCCGCTGAGAAAATAATCTCATTTGCTTAGCTCTGCACTGATGATGTTAACCTAGTTTGGTAATGAAACGTCTGCCAGAAAACCATCAAGGTCAGAGAGCACCAAGGATGATTCCTCCTCCTCCTCCTCTTCCTCCCTCTCACCCCATTCCCTTCTAGCACTGCTGATGTTACTTAGTTTGGTAATGAAATGTCTGCAAGAAAACCACCAAGCTCAGAGAGCACCGAGGATCCCACAGTTCAACCCTGAGCTACAAAAATTCTCTTCTATCCAAGATCTCACTAAAAGGAGACCCCTTGGGGGTCTGGGGCTGATTGAATCACTGAGCCTTGGACTCCCCAGCTGCAGTTCAACAGCCAACACTTTCACACCGACTTCTGGAGAGTCTTTGAAAAGCAATTAAAAGCAATAGCACTTAGACTTATATACCACTTCTCAGTGCTTTACGTCCCCCTCTAAGCAGTTTACACAGTCAGCCTGTTGCCCCCAACAATCTGGATCTTCATTTTACCCACCTCGGAAGGAGGGAAGAGGCTGAGTCAACCCTGAGCTGGTGAGATTTGAACTGCCAAATTGCAGGCAGCTGGCAGTCAGCAGAAGTAGCCTGCAGTACTGCACTCTAACCACTGTGCAGCGTGGAAGGAAGGAAGGAAGGAAGGAAGGAAGGAAGGAAGGAAGGAAGGAAGGAAGGAAGGAAGGAAGGAAGGAAGG